CACATGTGCTGAAAAGTTGTGACTTTCGAGGCGGAGCTGCCCAAAAAAGTGTACTTCCTTTACTACACTTGCACTGACAAGTTGCGACCTTCGAGCCGGAGCTGCCAAAGTGTATCTCCTTGTACTGCAAAGTTGCGACTTTCGAGCCAGAGCTGCCAAGGTGTATTTCCGTTTCTGCACTTGTACTGACAAGTTGCGACCTTCGAGCCGGAGCTGCCAAAGTTTCCTTGTACTGAAAAGTTGCGACTTTCGAGCCGGAGCTGCCAAAGTGTATTTCCTTTACTGCACTTGTAGTGAAAAGTTGCGACTTGCGAGCCGGAGCTGCATTGCTGGATTTCCACACGTCAACGCGGTAGAATTTGGCACCTGGCAATCCATTTGAATGTTGGCAAACTCTTGTCTTTCACCCTGACAAGTCGTGGGACACAACAGAGCCACGGACAAAACACGTGTAGACCACTTTGGTAAAGGGGGTACTCTTTGGCCTACGACTCCAAAAAGCCATGGACAACGATACGGTCTCCCCCAAAACGATAACAGTTAGTTAACACGTGGCTCTACAATGACCCCTGCAGTTGCAGCTTAGTTGGGGTGGAACCCTTGCGTGGCCGCCGTAAAACGCGAAGGCGAGTCGCGACTTGTGTTCTTCGCGCGTGCTCGGCTTGTGCTACAAAGTTGCGATTTTCGCGCTGGAGCTGCGGAAGTGCACTTCGCGTACTAGACTTGTACTACAAAGTTGCGATTTTCGAGCTGGAGCTGCGGAAGTGTGCTTCGCGCACTAGACTTGCACTACAAAGTTGCGATTTGGAAGTGTGCTTCGCGTACTAGACTTGTACTACAAAGTTGCGATTTTTGAGCTGGAGCTGCGGAAGTGTGCTTCGCGTACTAGACTTGTACTGCAAAGTTGCGATTTTTGAGCCGGAGCTGCGGAAGTGTACTTCGCGCGCAGACTTGTACCACAAAGTTGCGATTTTCGAGCTGGAGCTGCGGAAGTGGGCTTCGCGCACTAGACTTGCACTACGATTTTCGAGCTGGAGCTGCGGAAGTGCACTTCGCGTGCTAGACTTGTGTGCTACAAAGTTGGGATTTTCGATCTGGAGCTGCGGAAGTGTACTTCGCGTAGCTAGACTTGTGCTACAAAGTTGCGATTTTCGAGCCGGAGCTGCCAAAGTTCGAAAACACTGTAACACAATAATAACGTTCAACAAAGTACTAGGGCCAAGTAAAGCATCACCTATCCACGCAAGCTCCATGTAAGCCAGTCCACCGCACACCCTTCCTCCATCATAGGCTCACTGCGTTCTGCAAGTTTCTACGCTTAGTGAAGATTTGACACGTGTGCTTCCATGAACATTCGAGAAAGCGTATGTAGCCCTTTGATGTTCTGTTTGCCTGCCCAAGGCCAGAGAGCCCCATGTGCGACCTGTTGACCGCTGTTTTGGGTTTCAGGGTGTGGCAGGTGTGTGCTAACTGTTCAGGGTTGACGGGGCATTCCGGCCAACACAGTAATGTGCTATCTGCCTAGGAAAAAGTGCTAACTGATTGATACGCACTATACTACACGTGTGCTGAAAAGTTGCGACTTTCAAGCTGGAGCTGCCGAAGTGTACTTTCTTTACTACGCTTGTACTGGGCTTTCGAGCCGGATCTGCCAAATCTACTTCCTTTGCTACACAAAGTTGCGAGTTTCGAGCCGGAGCCGCCAAAATGTACTTCCTTTACTACGCTTGTACTGAAAAGTTGCGACTTTCGAGCTGGATCTGCCAAATCTACTTCCTTTACTGCATTTGTACTGAAAAGTTGCGACTTTCGAGCCGGAGCTGCCAAGGCATACTTCCTTGTAGTGAAAACTTGAGACTTCCGGGCAGGAGCTGCCAATGCGTACTTCCTGTACTACACTTGTACTGAAAAGTTGAGACTTTCGAGGCGGAGCTGCCAAAGTGTACTTCCTTTACTACACTTGCACTGACAAGTTGCGACTTTTGAGACAGATCTGCCAAGTGTACTTCCTTTACTACACTTGTACTGAAAAGTTGCGACTTTCGAGGCGGAGCTGCCAAAGTGTACTTCCTTTACTACACTTGCACTGACAAGTTGCGACTTTTGAGACGGATCTGCCAAGTGTACTTCCTTTACTACACTTGTACTGCATTGCGAAAGTTGCTCGTTTCAGAAAGCGTATCTCTGCCCACAACCAGAGAGGCATGTGCTAACTGTTGGTCGCCCCTTTCGGTTTCGGGGTGTGGCAGGTGTGTGCTAACTGTTCGGGGCTGACGGGGGCATTCCGGCCAACCCAGGGATGTGCTAACTGTGCCGCCTGCTAAAAAGTGCTAACTGATAGATACGCACTATAAATAAAAAGTTCAGACTTTTTTTTGGCCAGTCAACTTGGGAAGTGAGGAAATCCATTGGCCGCATTTTCCCTTTCCCCTTTTTATGGTGTAGACTGGATATAAATGGACTTGGGGGACCTCCCCCTCGGAATTATGAGGGGAGGCAAAACCAAATGTGTCACGGTTGGATTTGTTTTTCCTCGGGGTGATGTTTAAGGCGGAAGTTCCGGGAGCCAGATCAGCAGAGGTCAGAGACCAAATCGTCCCCTACACCCCCTTTCACTTGCTGAAGTGTTTCTTCTTTTTTTTACCACCTGTTGGTTTTAAAGGGGTCTATCACTGGAAAGAACGTCTCATTGTTTCCAGTGGGCGAAGAAAGCAAATGGAAGCCCCACAGAATGCCTCCAGAACCTTTTCCTGAGACATTTCTTTCCCCAGTTCTAAGCCGGGGTTATCAGCCCCCTCCCCCCCCCACCCCGCCACATGCATCGCAACGCCATTCGCCCCGGCGTGCACTAAGTGCAGAAAGACAGACCCACCAGGAGACTCCCTAGCTTGCCCATGTCTTCTTGGGGTGAATTTGTATTGGGGATCGTTGGGAGGGCATCTAGTACTCATTATTTTGAGCTCATTGAAGCAATAGCCGACATTCTTATCCAAATAGCGAAAAGTCATAGCCATTCACTTACTTCAGGCAAGGAAAAGGAAGCATGAGGCCTCCCTTTGCCCACAAAGCCCTTCTCTGTTGTTGGCATGTGTTCCTTTTTTTTGAGTTCTCCTGATGTTTAGGGGGCCGCAAAAAAGGCCAAGTTCTCTCAGTTGTTCAGTGGGGCACCCTTTTTCTTTTCTTTTTTTGCGGCTGCCCCACTACAAAGGGTTTCCTTTTTTTTCCAGGGTCACTGAACAACTGAGTTCCATTTTGCCATAGGGTCCAGGGGAGGACACCGATGGCGTTGAGGTGACATCGGCTTTGCCGCGCGTTCCGTCATGGGCTTGGCCGGAAAAAAGCGCGGTACGTGGCGGCGGAGGGAGCTCCCCAGCCAGTAGCGCCCTTTCTCACCCAACTTTTTGGGTTGGGAGGAACCCCCCCTGCTGAAATAGACCAAAGAGATCAAAAAGTTGGGTACCCTTCTTTCCCTAACCTCCCTGGAGGACCTAGAATGTACTTAAAGGGGCGATCGACTCGATACGTCAGGTAAGTGGTGAGAGTAAGCCTGGTGAGAAAGGCCACTGCAGGGAGATTTATAGCTGGCTTTTGTGGGTTATTTCACCGGGCTTACCCACCACTTACTAGTTTGGTTTTTAAGGCCAGATGGGATCACTGGAGACAGGGGACAGAAGGGGTCACTGGTTGGATTTCTATGATTGCTTTAAGGCCAAATGGAAACCACGCGCGCCTTGAGGAGGCGCACATGAGTGGGTTTCCCCGAAAATAGGTGCTCATGGGGGCTGGGGGGGAGGGAGGGGGAGGGCCCTCCCCCTCCCTCCCCCCCCAGCCCCCGAACATAGGTGCTGTTGACCAATCCAGGCGTCTCAAGAGACGACAAGGCAGGAGGCCTCCTTGCTCAGCTTCAAGTTTGCCCCGTTCGGTCCGAAATGCCTGACGTCGGTGTTTTTCGGCCAAGGCAACCAAGATCCCCGCCCCCTTAAAAATGGAATTGGGGGAGGGGGGTGACCCCTGGAGTTCCATTTATACTTCCATTTTCCCTTTCATGGGGAAGACTAGATGGAATCGGGGGACACCCTACTCCCTCCCCCCTAAGGCACGTTGGACCAAGCGAACCAGGCGGTTAAAGGGGCTTTTGGATTTGAGGGTTGAGACGTTGGTAAACGGCCACAAGGATTTCAATCGCACGGGGTCAACGCCTTGCAACATGGATTTGGTTGGTTGCAACCATCCGTCTGTAATATCATTTTGCTGGTTCTCAGCGGGGAATGAGAAATGTTGGAAATCTCCGTGCTCTGGCACTCGACCATGTTCAGATTCCGAGCGCAATGAGCCAATTCCTCTTACTGTGCCTGCACCAACTTGAAACCATGGGAATCCAGTAGTTGTGGTATTTGCAGGCGGGTCATCATTCCAGGTTTTGCTTTGTGGTCTCCCCCCAAGACTCGGACTCGCCAGCGGGACTCGACCCCCATGCTCCAAAAAAAAGAGGCAGGGTGTCAAAGGAAATAGTTAAAGGGAGACCTTCTACGGGAGAGACCAAGCAAAACCCGAACCCAAGATCAGATGTCAGAAGATATTACTCTATCTAAGCCTAATTAGGGAGCCAATCCAGCCACCCTGATCAGCTGGCGCTAGCCCTCCCCCCCTGCGACAAACCCCGTGGGGACAGCTCAGAATCCTTTTGTTTCTTTTTTTCGCCAGGGGGTGTTCTCTTGGCGTTTCCCAGCCATGCCCTTTGCCTTTTGGCTTTTTGGTGCTTAGTGGAGATTTCTGAATTTTGCCCGCAAAAAGAGTGCAGCCCAGGTTTTTGTGGCTTCCCGAATGGTCACCCCATGTTGATGGGACCTTTTGACCCCTCTAGGAGCAAGGGTCGTTTCTTTGTGGGCTCGGTTGCGTTGCTTCCCCTTGCTTTATTTATTCCCATGGCCGTCTCCGCCGCGTTGCAATCAGCTCTCTCCTCCACGCGCGCGATCCAAGAGCTCTCCTCAACTCTCGCCATGGGCTGCGGAGCATCAGGCGGCAAGTCGGGCGAGGCGGAGCCCGCAAAGGAGGAGGCGCGGTGAGTCGAGTCGAGGGCGGTGCACATAGGTGTCCTGTTTTGGTTGTTCTGGCTGTTTTGTCCTTTTGGTTGTTTTGGTTGTTTCTGGTTGGTTTGGTAGTTTTGTCCTTTTTGGATGTTTGTGGTTGTTTTGTCCTGTTTGGTTGTTTTGGTTGTTTTGTCCTTTTTGGTTGTTTTGTCCTTTTTGGTTGTTTGTGGTTGTTTTGTCCTGTTTGGTTGTTTTGGTTGTTTTGTCCTTTTTGGTTGTTTGTGGTTGTTTTGTCCTGTTTGGTTGTTGGTTGTTTGTCCTTTTTGGTTGTTTTGGTCTTTTGTCCTTTTTGGTTGTTTTGGTTGTGTTGTCCTTTTTGGTTGTTTTGGTTCTTTTGTCCTTTTTGGTTGTTTAGGTTCTGTTGTCCTTTTTGGCAGTTTCGGTTATTCTGTCCTTTTGGGTTGTTTTGGTTGTTTTGGTTGTGTTGTCCTTTCTGTCTGTGTTGGTTGTGTTGTGCTTGTTGGTTGTTTTTGTTGTTTTGGTTGTGTTTTTCTTTTTGGTTGTTTTGGTTGTTTTGTCCCTTTTGGTTGGTTTAGGTTCTGTTGTCCTTTTTGGCAGTTTCGGTTATTCTGTCCTTTTGGGTTGTTTTGGTTGTTTTGGTTGTGTTGTCCTTTCTGTCTGTGTTGGTTGTGTTGTGCTTGTTGGTTGTTTTTGTTGTTTTGGTTGTGTTTTTCTTTTTGGTGTTTTGGTTGTTTTGTCCTTTTGGTTGTTTTTGATTGGGTTTGATCGTTTTTGATTGTTTTGGTTGTTTTGTCCTTTTGGTTGTTTTTGGTTGTTTTGGTTATTTTGTCCTTTTTGGTTGCTTTTTTGGTTGTTTGTTGTTTTGTCCTTATTGGTTGTTTTGGTAGAAGGATAGTATGGGTTTCCCTGGTTTACCAGGTGTTTTTTTATTTCATCTACCAGGGAAACCCATCTATTGCCCTAAAAGGGCACCTATGGCGGTGCACTTCCATTAGCGCGGCTGCTGTTGGGTTCTTCCATTTTTGCGGATATCTGAGTATGTTTTTCCCCCACTTGGCTGAGAAAAGTTGAACTCGATTTCACTACTGGACCTGTGTTCTCACTTTCTCCAGGCGGAAAAGCACACGGAAGGGTTGGACTGGACCCCTTCTCGACTTTGGGGAGGAATGGACTGCTTCCCTGCAAGGGTTTCACTTCTCCAGACCGACGGAGGTGAAGGCTCCGGCGCTGAAGGTGGATCCAGCGAAGTTCAAAAGTGCCTTCAAGAAAGGCAGGGGCATAGGTGTCCTTTTTGCTTTTTTGGTCGAAAAATAGATGGGTTCCCCTGGTTTACCTGGTGGTTTAATCATCTACCAGGGCCATCTATTTGCCCCAAAAGGAACCTATGAGCAGGGGTGGCTGCAACACTTTTCACAAGACCTGAAAAGTCTCCTGAGAAACCAGCAATGATGTTGAACAAGAAACATTGTGGTTTTTGCCATGGATTTTGGGGCAGCGGGCCAGGTGTCTTCTTTTTTCTTTTTGAATTGCTTCCATTTGCTTAAACATATTTTTATGTTTCCCTGTTGGTTTCAAAGGAAATCTATCACTGCTGGACATATCTTGATTGTTTTCAGGGGGTTTGAGCAAGCGGAAGATTGGCAGCTTTAGATTGCCCAACTACCCCCTACATGTGGTTTGGGTTTGTGGGCATGGGCCCCAGAAAAGGAGGCAAAGCGAATTCAACCGGGTTCCACAGAAATCATGGTCTGAATCGCGCCAGAACACTCGGGTTATTCTCTAAGGGGTTCTTCATGAAGCAATCTGGAAGCTGATTATGAACCAGAGTCCATTTTTACAAGCACCAATTTTGGCTCATGAACCAACAGAGTTCGACTACCCAGGGTAGGCTTAAACCCAGTGGTGGTTCATCCCTTCCCAAAAGCGCCCCTAGGTTTAAGGGCTAGTCAAAAAGTGGAACCCTGCATGCCCACCCCTTTGTCATTTGAGATGGTGCCTGCCTCCAAACCACACCTTTTTTTAGGGAAACATGGGGTATACAACCACTATACAACCCACTATGTCAAGGGTATACATCCTGATCTCCCTTGGTAGTGGTTCGGGGGCAGTGGGGGCCATCTCAGTTTTTTTCAAGCGCAGCCCTGAAACAGGCGGTTTCCAGGGAGGTTCCGGCTCGATGGCATGGCTGTCAGAGTCTCGGCCTGCTTGGCACACATGGCCCGGGTCGGACAACAGGGTACTCCCCCTCGAAAGATCTTATTTGCGGGGGAGGGGGTTTGGTTGGGGGATCCTGTGAAAACGGAGAGCTTGGACTGAGAAAAAAGGAAGCTTTCTGGAAGGTCCAGATTGAAAGTCTGAACTTTCCTGGCCGCCTCGAAAGCCATGGGACTACATCATTCCGTGCGGAACAAAGAAACAATGCCTAGGCTAATGGTTGTTGTTGGGAAACATTTTACATTGTTGCTTATTGTGGTTTAGTGGGAAATCCCCACTTAGCTGCTAGAATTTAATTTTTTGCTCCCCTTCCAACGTCAACTTTAGAGTTGAACGTCTACCAAAACTGTTTCCGCTCGTTTTCTTTGTCCATGGGCCAAATGTCCAATCGACCCGATCGATTGGCACTCGAGGATACTCAGCTCCTCTTCATCTCGAGCGACTCTTTGCTTGAGGTCTTGGACGTGGCCACCATGCCACTTGGCCTTGTTTTTTTGTTCATGCCTCTTGGTCCGTTGTTTTTTCCATGCCACTTGGTCCGTTGTAGTTGTTTATTTTTTGGGGGGGGGCTGTTGGCTCGACCCCCCAGATCCTGTTTTTGAGGCACAAGCTAACATGGTCAATATTCAGCCCCCTGCCCGGTTCCTAAGTTGATTCTGTCTCGCCAAGATCCCAGACATCTTGCACGGTTGCCCAGTGGGCTGCTTCCTTTTTTTTTACATTGTATGGGCAAGGCTTCCCCTAAAGTCAACCAACCCAAAAAAAGATGCCTTTTTTCCCACGGCCACTGGGCATCTGAGAGTTTATATCTCTGTCGATTTTATTGGGAGCTCACTTGGAACGAGCGAACACCAAGGTCCTTTACTTGGATCCTTTCATTTAGCATTTGAAGTCATGGCATAGTTTGTAGACCTACAAAAGCTTGATGAAAGCCCAGCGCTGGGCAATCTTCTGCAACCCTTGAAAGATACAAAAGCGGCCTCACATGCTTCGTCACTCTCATTTCTCTTTTTCAATGATCATTTTCAATTATCCTCAGAACAAGCTTGACTGCTATTGGGTTGGATTTTTAGACTGTAACTTGTTGGGAAATAAAGGTGTTTTGCACTGACCCCAGAACAAGTTAAAGTTTTTGCAGGGGGGCAAACAGCAACCAAGCAAGCATCCTAACAGGCATGCGAGCATTGAAGCAGACCCTTTATTGAGAGGGCCTGCTACCACGGCGGCTCCGCATCCTGTTTCGGAGCTGTGTAGCGGGAGTCCTGGTTACATAGGTATACATGTGAGGCAAAGACAATGCTTGACACTTCCGCTGGAGCCTGAAAGTCGCAACTTTTTCGCACGCTCAAGTGTCAAAGTGCATTTCCCTTCACCAGAATTAGCTCCCCTTTTTGTTTTTTGTTTTTGCCGGGGTCCTAATTCCAGCCTAGTTCCGCAGCTCCGGCTAAGTCGCAGCTCGGTACAACGGCATGCGAACTGCAGGAGAGCCCCTCGAAGGTTCCAACGCGAAAGCTTGGCGACGGGTCGCTGAACCCGGGCCGGGGTGTAGCGAGGTATGCAGAAGACGACCATGCGAGGTATGTAACGAGGTAGATCACAGAAAGATGACTTCACCCCCCCTCATATTTTGGGTGTGATTCAGAGCATGCAACAAGCATGCAGCCAGCAACCAGCCGGCGGTCGTATTAATGTGAGGTTTCATGGTAGAACATGCCAAATCACCTACCTCCCCTTTTTGATTTTTCTCACTTTTTTGGGGTCCCTTTGTTTTTCACTAACCAGGCAAAAAAGGTTATATTTTTGCAATTCCAGCCTAGCTACTGGGGCCCGGTATCCAATTGCTACCCTCTTTCCAAGAGTCATGGAAGTCGTTCTTTACAAGGAGAGCTTTCGTCTTCCAACCCCTGTCAGCTTCCTGACTCTTGGAAGAGTACCAGGAGTTCTGGTTAGGGGCATGCCAAAAAATACGCGGAGCGGCCCTCCATACGTTCGCGCTTGTAGGGTTGCGGGGCCGCTTAAGAAAAAACAAGCCTTACAATAGAAGACCGCCCTCAGTAAACTGCAACTCAACAGTAAATCTAGAGGTGTGTTGCCCCCGAATCCTGTTTCCGTATTGCCTTTTCCCGGTTCCCGCCCGGCATTGATCTATCCCTTTTTGGAACAGGCCGAAGACTACCCTTACAAGACGGAAGTGGGTGGTTTCAAGTCTGAAGGCTGGGCAAGGCGTGCGCTATGCCGAGGACAGCCACCGCACTGGAATCGGGCTACCACTCTGTCGTAGCCAGCGCTGACGGAAAAATGTATGCCCTCACCAAAGGACCAGAGGTCGTCATCAAGAAGGCGGACCACAGTGAAGCTCAGCATCGGACCGCAGACTAGGTCCCCCAGTAGTGCCCTTTTACAAATGTTTGGGGCAGGGCTCCCCGACTAAAATAGAATACAGGAAAAAGGGTACCATTATTCTAACCTCTCTACTGGAGAAGCTAGTAGGTGAATCTGTCCCAATTCTGTTTTGCAGGCCTCCATTCATCCCCACTGGCAGGATTTGTCTCCATCGACAAGACGGTTTCAAAACGAAACTGGGCAGCCACCTACTGAACAAGGGGCATTGTGCGTAAGTGGTAGTAAGCCGAGTTACAACCCACGAAAGCCGTGGTTTGTTCACAGTCTCCGTTCAGTGTTTTTTTCAATGGCTTGCTGCCACCACTTACCTGACGTACCGAATCGATGGCCCCTGAAAAGTAGACCTATGCTTGCCGTTTAACAAATCGCCGGTCGCAAGCGCCGCAAGTATCTGACTTTTTGGACGGGCAAGCAAGGCACTATTTTACCCGCATCATATATGGAGGAGGAAAAGTGGAGGCTTCCAATCAAGAGAGAGAGAGAGAGAGAAAGAGGAAGAGAGAGAGAGAGAAAAGCCTATGCTTCCATTTGCTGACATGACAATGTCGATTGTTTTCTGTTGGCTTTTAAAGGGAATCTATCACTATTGAACACATATTCGTTCCCAGGGGACTTCAGCAAATGGAGCTATGGCCTTGAACCAAGCTGGGGTGGTTTGTCTTGCTTTAGGGGTTGGGGTTTCCTTCAAAGCCACACGCAAGGGGTACCCTCAATGCAGACCCAACTTGTGCAACCCTGCGCTTGGCTTTCGGTACCGTTCTGCCGAAATGTTCAGCTGAAAGAGCCGGGCAGGTGTGGTGTGCAGTCAGTGGGAAGTGTGGGAGATGCTGATTGGACAAATGAATGAATGTATGGGCCTGGTTTGATCACACGCACGCCAAGCTGGCCCCAAACAAGGGGGCCAAATCACTACCTCATTGAACAAATAGTTACACATTCTTACTCCTTGTTACCTGTCTCCCCTTTTGGCTGTTGGTCGCCCAAAGGGTGATCGCTTTGGATTTCTGGGTCCCAACTGGTGGGTGGGCAACTGACCTCCCCTCATGAGAAGAGCTTCAATGAGCGCTCACCCGAGGATGTGGCGACCATCGCCACCCAATTCGAGGCGGGCATTTGGCGCTTTGCGTGCGCCGGAGCTATGACTAGGTTCCCCAGTAGTGACTAGTGCCCTTCTAGCCTTTTTTTGGTTGGGAGGGTTCCCCTACTAAAATAGAAAGGGTACCCTTATTCTAACCTCTCTACTGGAGAACTTAGATGAATGTCCGGTTTTCTGGATCAAGCGCGGGACTTTCAATGGAATCCGTTCAGGGAAACACTTTCAAGGGGAGGATCCAGTGACGGAATGCCTGCGAAAGTAAGACGGGGACGGAAACCGATGCTCGTTTACTTCGTTCTCGAGTCAGTGACAGGGGTGAAGGCCGTGTCTCTTACAAAAAAGCCTACTGTCCCCGGCTGCGAAGGATTTTTTGGGAAGCGGTGTGTGGTTTCTTGTGGCTGCCCTTTTTGGAGAAGGCATGGCTTTTGGAGAAGCCGGCTTCGGCAAAACAAAAAACCCAAGCATGCACCAGCCTCTTTTGGGGAAGCCGCCTTTGCCCCCCCAAAATTCCATCACCTATACATGACTGTTCTACGAGCTGTGCAAGCTTCAGGATTTCACTTCAAGAAGTTGAATAAAATCTGATGATAGACCACATGGCTGTGGGTCAAAACCAATGGTACCGTTTTGGGGTAGGTGAATTCACCACCCATTTTAGTCGGGATTTTTGTGGGGATTGGGATGTTCACTGGGGGTACGATTTGGCTTTTGACCCATGGCCAAATGCATGTGTTTTTTTTAGGGTTTCAATCCTTAAGCCCCTTCACAAGGCTCTGGGTCTCGCAGGGGGTGGATGCCCTATACATCTTTTGCGAGCTGTGCAGTCTGTAGGGTTTCAAGAAGTTGAACATCAACCTGCTGAGTTGAACGTCAATCTGCTGATTGGCCATGTGAAATACTAGGTCCCCCAGCTAGGTGCCCTTGCTCACCCACTTGTTTTGGTTGGGAGGCAACCCCCCTACGAAGGTAGACTACCGAAAAAGTTGGTACCCTTATTCTAACCTCTCTACTGGAGGACCTAGATAAACCGGCTGAGTTGAACATAAATCTGCTGATCGACCCTGTGAAATTTGCCGCTGCTTCTAGTTGAGAGGATGATGTTGACCCCGGATGAATAAACCCCTTCTTAGTAAAACGGGGGGTGTTCTCCAAAAGTGGTCTGAGTCCCCACTAAAACCACGGACACCCCCTACTGTGGATGGACTAAATCCATTTTGCACCACCTAAAAAACCCTCGTTTCTGATGCTTCCCCTGTAAATACCCACAAACCTATGCTTTGCTTATGGTTTCAAAGTGGTGCGAGAAGCGGATTTCGTCATGTCCACTACTGGTGATAGATTCCCTTTAAAATCAACAGGAGAAAGGGAGATCAAACCAGAGCCATATTGATTTAGGTCCGGGACGAAATCCCCACTGGTCCTGTCTAGACTTGCCATTTTACCAGTGACTCAAAGTGGAGCAAACCATAAAATCTACATTCAACTGGGCCGAAGTCATGTCATGACCTCAGGGTGTATGATTCCGTCCGCAAAAAACATCTGTTGGATTCGCTTCCGGCCCACCGAAAACCTCGAGGCGGTGGGGGCCGTGGCCTTCAGCCCGGACGGGAAGCATCTGGCGGTGAACGCGGGGTACAAGGGAAAGTTTCTTGACCAATCCAAATCTCATGGATTCTTTGCGGGTGGCTATGGGGGGGCTATCCCTGGAGAAGCCCGGGATAACACAAGGATAAGCCCTTAATAAGGCCTTAAGGGCATTTTTTTGGGATAGCCCCCCCTCACCATAGGATCCTGGTGGCTCTGTGCACAGCATTCTGGTTAGGATGATGTCAGCGGGTTCATCATGCATGGCGTCTCTTCCCCATGTGAAGATTTAGGGTAGGCAAAGACTCCAAATCCAAACCAATCCAAAGGGCCAATTTTGGGCATCTCTTTTAAGATCCCCGGTTAGAGCTGTGATTTGTTCCCATCATTTGAGCCTTCAGAGTAAATCGCGCGTATCCTTGGTTGCTGCTGGGTAACGGATCTTTGGACTAAAAGACTCTTTGGTGGAGATTAAGGGGTTGCTGGTTGAAGGTTTGGGACTACATCTTCTTTGGCGCATTTTGCGTGGATGTTGGGACTTCAACTTTTTGCCAACTCATGGGTTTCCACTAGCCCCCTCAAAAAGTGAACAACTTTTTGCGGAGGGTGGGGCAGAAAGCAACTGGGTACCGGATCTTCGGAGACTTCCACTTTTTGGTGGAAATCAAGTTGGGCTTTCCACGACCCCCCCCCCCCAAAACAAAAGAGAGTGGACCACTTTTTGCAAGGGGTCTCGCCAAGGATTGTGAAGATCTTCGCCATGGACGGCGCGGAAGTGGGGAAGGTGGAAGGCGCGGTGCGCGATTCTGGGATCTCCTGGGCCTTTGTGGCCAAAAGGTCCTGGCGAGTGAGGAAAGGATGGGGAATGAGCCTGCTGACCACAAGAGACGAGAAGTTCTTGTGAGTGAAGCAGGAATTTCTGGTTGAACCGTTTTTGGTCCCGAGTAATCAGTGATGGTTCGGGCATTGAGCACCAGCAAGCAAAGGCGGGGCATGTGTTGGCGTGTCCTTTCTTTTTTTTGTTGAGGGAGCCCATTTTGGTTTGTTCGAAAGGGAAACCAAGCGGGAAACTGACATTTTTTAGCTGTTTTTAGCCGGGGGGGCCGGGATTGCCATTTTTAGACATCCCCCATTTCCCTTTGAAGCCAGTTTCAACTATAGGTGTGTGTGTGTGTGTGCAGCGGGCGGGTGGAACCACAGTCAATCTCTGCAAATTCCTCTACCCATGGTGTGTTTGCGATCTCAAGTTAAATGAGGGGAAGGTTCGAAGTGACAACTCTGTTGCCAGTTTTTGGTCGGGTGCTGGGCCACTCCGAACTGGGGCCTGCGGGATGGCACGAGAGAGAGAGGGAGAGAGAAAGGATCGAAAGTCTGGCAGGAGAGAAAGATGGCTTGGACTTGCCGTACTGGTACGACAACGAGACCTTGTTCATGGCCAGCGCTTGGATGCTGTATGCCTATAGCCTCGCAAAGAAGAGCCAAGTCAAGTGGGAGCTTCCCACGGGCTCCTTCAATGGTACTTCAGTTCCTCGGCTTGTTTGGTTCCATGTTTGTTTGGGGGAGAGCCTCTAGGTCCCCCAGCAGTGCCCTTTCACCCTTTTTTTGGGGAGGGTTCCCCTACTAAAATGGTACCCCTATTCTAACCTCTCTACTGGAGGACCTAGGCTTTTTACTTTCTATGTCAATGTTCGTCCAGCGTAGTAAGCCCAAGAGTGTGGGTGTGAAATGGAGCCCCGACACGGGTTTTCCTTTTGGCCCCCAAAACACCCAGCCACCACCCAATCCTAAGTGAAGCATTGCAAAATTAACTCGTGTGTTTTGTCCCACCCTTGTCGAGTGCTGGTCGGTGCAGTTTTGGCGAAGCGGATTTTCACCCAAGTTCACCATCCTGAAGAGCAAGAAGATCGTGACCGGAAACGACAAAGGACGGGAGGGTGGCTGGGAAGGACTGTCAAGCTATGATACTTTGTTCTTGAGGCCCGGTACGTTGTTCGTCACATGACCGTTGAATTGTGGTTTGGCGGCTTAGGGGTTTGAACTCTTCTTGTAGAGGGTTCCGTATGAGCAACGGTCTACATTTCCTGTCATCTACAGTAAAGGGCCAATAGAAAATGGAGGTTCCTCCACTAAAGTCGGCGCCGGGTTCCATCGGATGCAAAGCTGGCAATAGCTCTCTCCTTTTCAATGAAGCTAGTGGACAGGCGAGCTTTGGAAGACAATCTTGCAAAGGACCCTGGCAGTTGTCCACTTGCGTCGGCCTCTTGCAGCGCGCTGCCAATGTGTTTGTTCTTTTTCGGATGCTGGGATCCAGGCACCGCTCACTTCCTGACCTGGGACGGGACGACCTTTGCCGTGGAGAAGGATGTCAAGTTTCACCCGCACAGCGGGCCAGGGAACTTGCAGGCACGCGTGTACTGGGCTATGCCCCTCCAAGTAGGAGGCTTCGGCGGATTTGCCTACGAGTTTCAGTCAGGGAGCTCCATTTGCTTAAGTCCCCAGGAACGAATGAGAACATATATATGTACAGTAGTGACAGGTGTCCTTTAAAGCCAACCGGGAAAATACATATTCATTTCAGCAAATGGAAGAAAGAGATCCCAACGAAAAAACGACTTAGTTGAAACCCAAATTTCCCCAGGCCACTTAAACGGCTGGCCCAAAAAGTTTATTGGCTGGACTTCTATGAGACAAACCCACTTCGCATGGCCCACGCCTCACCCACATCCCATGGCCAGCAACTTTGGCAGAATCACTTGAGCCACAAACAAAAAAGCTGGGTAGATGAAGGTTAGTAAGGGACAATCCCAGCCACTAACTGCGGATATCCGCATTCTTAATTCTTGAAGCATGGTTCTGGGTCGACCATTTTAGTACCGGGTTTTGATTCTGACTCACCTGGTCAGACTCCCGGGTGGATGAAAAGGGAACGAGCTGAAGCTGAAGAGTCGAGTCACCGGCCAGCGGATGGCGGGGTCAGGTCTTCCCGGATGAGCAGACGGTACTCTACGAGAAGGAGGGCGGGGGCCATTTCCAGGTCACCACCTTCGAGAGATTCTGGGAGAAGCGACCGGCCCGCAGAAGCTTCTATTTTCAGAGAAGGAGAGAGAGAGAGAGAGAGAGAGAGAGAGAGAAATAGAGGGATATATGTATATGTATATGTGTGTGTATGTGTCTATTTATACACATAGAGGGCGGGACGTCCTGGGGGCTGTGTTTTTCACATTCCTGGGGGCTGCATCTGTTTCCTTTGATTGGACTCGCTCCTTATTTAATTCTTCTTAGCTTTAGTAAGTAGAATTCGGAAGAAATACGTAGCTTAGAGGTCCCAAAACTGTTTAAATACACGTTGCTACAATGTCTACTGTTTTGGAAAGCGGATTCTTTTGGAAAGGAAAGCCTGTCTAGCACTTATTGTGACATACAACAAACATTAATGCAACTCTGGTTCAACACAAGCAATGGTTGGATTCTTTTATATTTGAAGGCTATTTAATGTGAGATAGCAATTAGGTGGAACTTGGTTAAACAATATGAAGTAGCACTCATAAGGAAAGACATCAGCGATCCCGAAAATAGGATGTATAATAATCGATTGGACGATCGTATTTGTGGATCTCCCGATCACAGCCACTCAGCCACTTGGAGTGTCTGAGTGGCTCAGAGTGGCGCGGAGTGGCTCAGAGCGGCTCAGAGTGGCTCAGAGTGGCTGGGGGTTAGAGTGGCTGAGGGCGCTTTGTGAGAGTGTCTTTTTCCACGTTCAGGGAAGCAAGGTAAAATTCAGAAGGGCACCTTAACCTTGGAATTCTTTCAGAAGGGGACGCCCTGGAGGCTGCGTTTTCAGATTCCTGGGGGCGCGTTGTTCATCAAAAACCGACCTAACAAATCAAAGCAAAAAAGCAGCAGACCCTATGGCTGGCAATCCAAGCTTGGGGACATAGGGCTCGCGATTTGGGCACTTTTTTTTGGGGGGGTGGGGGGGGGGGGGGGGCGGAATGCCCGAAGTTGATTACACTTTTCCCAGAAAACCCAAAAAGCCTCGAGCTCTCCAACAAAACGAACAAAACACAAAATTGCCGGCCCGATAGCTGGGCACTCCAAGCTTAGGGACATAGGGCCTGCAATTGTTTTTTGTTGGAAATTCGATGTCTTTTACACTTCTCCAGAAAAACCAAAAACCTCGAGTTTTCCAAACAATGCAGGCCCTATGGCTGTGTGGGGGTTGGCTTGCCTCGGTGGGTATTGGACACTTCCGCCGTTCTTTCCCAGCATGCGTGGTGGCATGACAAAGTATGGGGGGTGATCAGGATTCCTGCTCGGTGGCCCCTGCCTTTGTTCGGTGAGCAGCTTATGCATTTGTTTCTTGATTCCCCCGCACGCGGGCAGCTTCGGGCCACGGTGTCGCATTCCTTTTTGTGCCCCGCGTCGGATGCCGCAAGAGCTAAACTTAGACTGCTGTGCCTGGTTTTCCTGCTCCGGCCACCGGACCGCTTCTTGATTCGTTTGTTTGGAGAGCAGGCTTCGCAGGCAAAACTTGCGGCAGTGGTTTTCTTTAAGCCGTTCGCTCTGTCTTGACGCATTCGCAACAGGCCTAGTCTTTAGTGCGCGCTGCCAAGGCGCATCAGAAGCAACGGCTCAGAAATTGTTTTCGAATGGGTCAGCGTTGTGCACCCGATGGCCAGTGCAAGATCTGAGCCACGCCACGGCCAACACGGTGTTACACTTTCACCCTCTTTTGGGGGAGGGTTCCCCTACAAAAATAAACAGCAGAAGAAAGAGAAGAAAGGGTACCCTTCTTCTAACCTCTCTAATGGAGGACCTGGTTCCAACTTGTAACAGGTGGACACAAGTGGAGCATCCGTGTGGAGCATCTTCCCCGGGCAGGGGAGCAAAAGCAAAAAGTTGGACGCCCTCTCTACTGGAGGGCCTAGGTTTTATACCCCCCTGTTGTCTTTTTGGGAATCTATCACCGGAAATATGTTCTCATTTGTTTCCTCTGTACTGGAGGACCTAGGGAACCGCATCCTTCTGCGGAGCCCAAGCACCCAGGCAGGTGCTTGCCCGCGGCGAGTGCGAGGAGGACGACCTGCCCAGCGTTGGCTCGGCGCCCCCGCGGCGCTTGTCGGGCCGTTGTTTTTGTTTTGTTGGCTCAGGTGCCTTCTCGGCAACGAACTGTGGATGGCCAAAATCCATTTCGCAAAACCTGTTTGTTGAGCTTTGCGTTGGGGAATCGAATCATTCCAGGGTTTGTAAGGTGTTGCAAACGCATTTCGCCCATCCACAGTAGTTCCGAGTTGCAGAATCTGCACAAAGGCATTTTCCAAGGTGAAAGTGGTCTTTCTACAGGTCTGTGACTTCCACTTCCACTCACTTCCATGTTGGGAAGGTGATCTTTTGGACTGGATTGGTGATTGATTCTGGGTATGGTTGCGGGCAGGCAATTTCAAGTTGATGGGGAGCAGGGCGCTCAATCTTGAATTGTTTTGGAATTTTGGAGTTTGGAGATTTAGACATTGCTGTGCAAGTTGAAAGGCAAGCTGTTTGCCTTGCAACTTTGCTAAGGTCTCTCGGAAAAGCGATTGAGCGGTTGAGACAATTCCAGGTTCCAATCGTATTGGGGATTCTCTCAACTTCCGATTTGCGGTGTTAGTGCTAGATTTCCCAGAATGCTGAATCCACCCAAAGGGATACCAAAAGGGGATGAGCAGCTTGCCGGTGTTTTGGGAGTTTCTCAAATAGAGGTCCCTTGAAATGGTTCATTTTCGTGTGGCTTCCCTGTAAGAGTTCTAAGGGCTCCGAATCGGCGGTGAATTTTAATAGGGAAACCATCTTAAAAGTTGGGGGACATGAATTCGGGTTAGGTAGACGTCCACACCCGGAAAGGCTGTTGCCACATCTTCCGCGAGCATACTTCACCTGACACTTCTCCATATTGCTTTCGGTACATTCTGATTCAAGGCATGGTGCCAATTTAATTCAGGGCCTCCCCGAAAACAGGGACCAACCCGTCGCTTAGCTGAGCTGTTCAACTTGATCCTTACGCTAGGAAACTGTCTCCTTAGTGAGTTTTCAATGGAGAACTGGATTGGGCAATCGCTCCACTTTCGAGAGCCCATACCGACGGAAGAAATCCCTTTCTCGCCACCTGGAAACCATGGAAAAAACACATTACCATTCTTTCTGTTTTTTGTTTTTTTTTGTTTTACGTTGGGGATCGACTCATGTGTTGGCGTATCTCCGTTTTTTCTTTTTCTGTTTTCTTTCTTTCTTTTTTGTTCTTTTTTTGTTTTAAACGTTTTCGTCATCGACTCCTGATTGGTTGGTTTCGCACCTCTTCGCTGCGAGGTGCGATTCGTGTCGTGAGGTCCTGATGAACCCTGCGGGCACTTTCGTGGCCACCGCGGGCTTCGCCGGTCTCGAAGTCTTCGCGCTGGGCTACGCCGCGCCGGCGGCAGCGGCGCCGGCGGTCTGAGAGTGGGGCGGCGGAAGGGACCGACGACTTGGTAGGAGGTCTGGCACCTGCCATGGGGAAGGTGAGAAACATCCGAGAGTCTAGGTTTCCAGAAATCCGGATCTTTCAAGAAAACCACCAAAACCCCATAAGAAATGGCTGGTTTTTGAAAAACAGGATGGCTGGGGAATTACCCCCTAGACAGAGCTTGAAAAAGGTTGGAGGTCTCAGCCAGGTCTTTGTTTCCCTTCTATTGCCCCGCAGTAAAGAGAACCACGCAACGCTTTGCGTGGCTGGAAGTTTTGTTTCGACCAACTGCGTCCCCGCGACGCAAAAGGCGCCCCTTATGGCGAGTTTCATCACCATGCCACAGGGCCGAAGAGCCCCGAAGGTATGGCAAGGCAAGCGCACCTGCAAGTTCTGCAAGTTCTGAGTGCAGAGGTTGTAACACATGTCGCTATGCTGGTTTGTTTTTTGGGGGGTTAGGATGGTTAGGTCAGTTTTTTGTTTTTTTTTAACCTTTTGTCCCCATTTTTGTGTTTTCCTCTTTTCTCCTTGTTTCTTTTGTTTACCTGCCACTTGGTTTCATCATAGGATATGTTCTCCAGATAGTTGAAAGCTCGCCAGGGCTTGCAAGCGCCAAGCCGCTTGCTGCGAGAAACGTAGGATTGGTATGATTATGTTTCCGAAGTGGGTGACGCCCAGAAGAATGGAGGAATATACTTTTATTTTACTGCATACACACACACATATATATATATATATATATATTGCAATTTGCATTGAAGGATGGCACCGTGCAGACCACAGTAGTCCTGTGCGTGGACAAAATGCACTTCGCGCCAGCTGGGCGGTTTATCCTGCAGGAGTTTGTCAATCCACAGTAGGTCACTATCAAAGTTTGCATCGCTGCGAGTTGTTAACAGCCAGGCTCTAGTTCCTTGCAAAGGGAACTAAGAGGATTTGTGTTTTACAATTGTTTTCTTGGTTTCTTGGTTCCTTGCATCTTGCAGGTCCGTGTGCACGAACAAAGTTGGCCACCTTTGATTTCTCGTGCTGTCCGGTGGAATTGCGGAATTGCTCGCCACAGGCCCGATTCCAGAACACCATTTCAATGGGTCCTTAAGACACCCCTTCTTGGGGTTTGATTGAATTGACATATCCACGTCGGACACCTTTCTGGGGTCCATTGTGGGCCCAAGCCAAGCGAAAGCTTTCGCGGCCGTACGAGCCTGGGACAGGAGCACATCATCACCCGTGCTGAGAGCGAAAAAGACCGCGAATTGCCTGGTGGATTATTTTAGGGGGCATCTGACGGGCATTGGGAGCCTGGGAATTTAATCACCAGATGGAATTCAGCCACAATCTTGCATTGGGCTTTCAAATGTTGGGTAGGATCCTTCTAGAAAGCTTTGCGGTCTCCCCGCATTGTGCCTGGGTTCAGTCTTAAGTAGGTGCCGTGGGGGAAAAACCATCTTCTTGGTGGCTCCCAGCCACCCCCTTTCAGCTTTTTAGTGTTTAGCGGCAGTTTCCATTCAACCCACTAAAAGCTAGTCACTTTTCGCGAGGGATCAGAAAACGGGAAGCCCAGTCTTCTTCGCAGCTCCAAGTTCGGTTTCAGCCGCGGGAAACGCCCGTCGCGACGCCATGGGTTGTGGAGCATCCTCGGGGAAGGCGGAGAAGGTGGCAGAAGCCCCAAAAACAAACAGGAGGCTCCAGCCGTCGACGGCCTGGGGGTGTGGGAGCCGCGGCTTCGCCGCCTGAAGAAACCATGTTTATTTTTGCTGAAATGAAATGAGGATGTTTCTAGGTCCCCCCAGCCAGGCGCCCTTTCCCACCCTTTGGTGGGGAGGGTTCCGAAGCCTACTAGAATAGACAAAACAAATGGTACCCTCATTCTAACCTCCCTACTGGAGGACCTAGGTTTTATAGCACCCCTGTTGGCTTTTTGGGCATCTGTCACTGGAAATATGTTCGCATTTGTTCCACTTCAGCAAATGGAGGGAAAACCCACTCAACTGCAACTGTTCAAGCCTCCAGTCGGTGGTTTCCTGGGTTCAACTGCCAACTTGGAGGTCTCTAGGATGTTTGAAGCTCCCACAGCTCAGCCCCTTGGCTTTAGGTCCCCAAGCGATTGGCGCCCTTTCTCACCCATTTTTTGTGGAGGAGGGTTCCCCTACTCGAATCGACTACAGGGGAAGGAGAAAAAAACAAAAGGTACCCTGATTCTAACCTCTCTACTGGAGGACCTAGTTGGGTTTCTGGCCATGTTTCGTGTTTGGTGCTTGGATTTCCCGCTGAAAAGCCACAAGTTCTTCTCACCGCTCGCCGGGGGGTCGGACAACGGACGGCCCTGCCTTTCAGTCGAGGTGAAGGCTCCTCCTGTGAAGCTGGACCCGGCCAAGTTCCGGAGTGTCTTCAAAAAAGGCGGGAGGTGGATATTTGTAGTAAAAACCGAAGCTTCGGATGGCAAAGGAGAAGCTAGCCGGATGTAGCAAGCTTTCTCATGCAGCAACACAAATCCCTGGAAGGCAGCAATGTGCGAAAGAAAAGCACGGAACAAAACACAAAACACGAAAACAAAGAACAACACGGAGAAGAAAACGGAAAAACAAAACAAAACAAAAAACAGAGAAAGGGCCAAAAAGAAGAACAGCAGAAAGAGCACAAAAAGAGAAGAGCATGAAACAAAACACCTGGTGTTGACGCCTGGGGGGATTTGGGTCTCCGCCCAGGCGGCTTCCAAGGGAGCTTCCAAGGGACCTCTGCGCCTCGGATCTTTCACGACTCGGCGGCGTTCGGATCTCGGGAATCGCGCGGGGGGAGGCGTTCGGATCTCGCGTGTCTCGGGAACGGGGGGACGGACGGGGGGGTCGGGGTGAGCGGGCCTAATTAAACTTACCTCTTAAATTCAAAACTGTTCTCACCTTTTTGGGGGTATATATGGGCAAAAATGTCTGTAAAAGATTAACTTCCCCAGGGCTTGGAGTTTTAAGGGGTAAGAATTAGGGAGCCAATCCAGCCACCCTGATCAGCTGGCGCTAGCCCTCCCCGCCCCCCCCCTTTTTGGGGGGGACACTGCTGACGCTTGCTGACACTGCGATAAACCCCGTGGGGGACAGCTCAGAATCCTTTTGTTTCTTTTTTTCTTTTTTTCGCCAGGGGGTGTTCTCTTGGTGGTTCCCAGCCATGCCCTTTGCCTTTCAGCTTTTTGGTGCTTAGTGGAGATTTCTGAATTTTGCCCGCAAAAAAGAGGGCAGCCCAGGTTTTTGTGGCTTCCCGAATGGTCACCCCATGTTCATAGAACCTTTTGACCCCTCTAGGAGCAAGGGTTGTTTCTTTGTGGGCTCGGTTGCTTTGCTTCCCCTTGCTTTATTTATTCCCATGGCCGTCTCCGCCGCGTTGCAATCAGCTTTCTCCTCCACGCGCGCGATCCAATAGCTCTCCTCCACTCTCGCCATGGGCTGCGGAGCATCAGGCGCCAAGTCGGGCGAGGCGGAGCCCGCAAAGGAGGAGGCGCGGTGAGTCGAGTCGAGGGCGGTGCACATAGGTGTCCTTTTTTGGTTGTTCTGGTTGTCTTGTCCTTTTTGGTCGTTTTGTCCTTTTTGGTTGTTTTGGTTGTTTTTGGTTGTTTTGGTTGTTTTGTCCTTTTTGGTTGTTTGTGGTTGTTTTGTCCTTTGTGGTTGTTTTGGTTGTTTTGACCTTTTTGGTTGTTTTGGTTCTTTTGTCCTTTTTGGTTGTTTTGGTTGTTTTGGTTGTTTTGGTTGTGTTGTCCTTTTTGGCTGTTTTGGTTGTTTTGTCCTTTTGGGTTGTTTTGGTTGTTTTGGTTGCGTTGTCCTTTTTGGCTGTTTTGGTTGTGTTATCATTTTTGGTTGTTTTTGTTTTTTTGTCCTTTTTGTTGTTTGTTGGTTATTTTTTGTTGTTTTGGCAGTTTTGCAATTTTGGTTGTTTTTGGTTGTTTTGGTTGTTTTGTCCTTTTGGTTGTTTTTGGTTGTTTTTGATTGTTTTGTCCTTTTGGTTGTTTTGGTTGTGTTGGTTGTTTTGTCCTTTTGTTTGTTTTTGGTTGTTTTGTTGTTTTGTCCTTGTTGGTTGTTTTCGTGGTTGTTGTGTTTTTGTTTTTGTTGTTTTGTCCTTTTTGGTTGTTTTTGTAGAAAGAAAGTATGGGTTTCCCTGGTTTACCTGGTTTTTTATGTCACCTACCAGGGAAACCCATCTATTTGCACTAAAAGGGCACCTATGGTGGTGCACTTCCATTAGCGCGGCTGCTGTTGGGTCCTTCCATTTTTGCGGATTTCTGAGTATGTGTTCCCCCTCTCGGCTAAGAAAAGTTGAGCTCGATTTCACTGCTGGGCATGTGTTCTCACTTTCTCCAGGCGGAAAAGCACACCGAAGGGTTGGACTGGACCCCTTGTCGACTTTGGGGAGGAATGGGCTGTTTCCCCTGCCACGGGTTTCACTTCTCCAGACCAACCGGAGGTGAAGGCTCCGGCGCTGAAGGTGGATCCAGCGAAGTTCAAAAGTGCCTTCAAGAAAGGCAGGGGCATAGGTGTCCTTTTTGTTTTTTTTGGTCGACAAATACATGGGTTTCGCTGGTTTGCCTGGTGGTTTAATCATCTACCAGGGCCATCTATTTGCCCCAAAAGGACACCTATGAGCAGGGGTGGCTGCAACACTTTAAACAAGACCTGAAAAGTCTCCTGCGAAACCAGCAATGATGTTGAACAAGAAACATTGTTGTTTTCGCCATGGATTTTGGGGCAGCGGGCCAGGTGTCTTCTTTTTTTTGAACTGCTTCCATTTGCTTAAGAATATGTTTATGTTTCCCTGTTGGTTTCAAAGGAAATCTATCACTGCTGGACATATCTTGATTGTTTTCAGGGGGCTTGAGCAAGCGGAAGATTGGCAGCTTTAGATTGCACAACTACCCCCTACATGTGGTTTGGCTTTTGCGCATGGGCCCAGAAAAGGAGGCAAAGCGAATTCAACCGGGTTCCACAGAAATCATGGTCTGAATCGAGCCAGAGCACTCGGGTTATTCTCTAAGGGGTTATTCTCTAAGGGGTTCTCAATCTGGAAGCTGATTTTGAACCAGAGTCCATTTTTACAAGCACCAATTTTGGCTCATGAACCAACAGAGTTCCACTTTTTGACTACCCCAGGGTAGGCTTAAACCCAGTGGTGGTTCATCCCTTCCCAAAAGCGCCCCTAGGTTTAAGGGGTAGTCAAAAAGTGGAACCCCGCATGCCAACCCCTTTGTCATTTGACATGGTGCCTGCCTCCAAACCACACATTTTTTTAGGGAAACATGGGGTATACAACCACTATACAACCCACTATGTCAAGGGTATACATCCTGATCTCCCTTGGTAGTAGTTTGGGGGCAGTGGAAGCCATCTCAGTTTTCTTTTTTTGGTAAACGCAGCCCTGAAACAGGCGGTTTCCAGGGAGGTTCCGGCTCGATGGCATGGCTGTCAGAGTCTCGGCCTGCTTGGCACACATGGCCCGGGCCGGACAACAGGGTACTCCCCCTCGAAAGATCTTACTTGCGGGGGAGGGCGTTTGGTTGGGGGATCCTGTGAAAACGGAGAGCTTGGACTGAGAAAAAAGCGATCCGAAGCTTTCTGGAAGGTCCAGATTCAAAGTCTGGACTTTCCTGGCCGCCTCGAAAGCCATGGGACTACATCACTCCGTGCGGAACAAACAAACAATGCCTAGGCTAATGGTTGTTGTTGGGAAACATTTTACATTTTTTCTTATTGTGGTTTCGTGGGAAATCCCCACTTAGCTGCTAAAGTTTAATTTGTTGCTCCCCTTCCAACGTCAATTTTAGAGTTGAACGTCTACCAAAACTGTTTCCGCTCGTTTTCTTTGTTCATGGGCCAAATGTCCAATCGATCGGGTCGATTGGCACTCGAGGATACTCAGCTCCTCTTCATCTCGAGCGACTCTTTGCTTGAGGTCTTGGACGTGGCCACCATGCCACTTGGCCTTGTTTTTTGTTCATGCCTCTTGGTCCGTTGTTTTTTCCATGCCACTTGGTCCGTTGTAGGGGGGGCTGTTGGTTCGACCCCCCAGATCCTGTTTTTGAGGCACAAGCTAACCTGGTCAATATTCAGCCCCCGGCCCGGTTCCTAAGTTGCTTCTGTCTCGCCAAGATCCAGACATCTTGCACGGTTGCCCAGTGGGTTGCTTCCTTTTTTCAACATTGTATGGGCAAGGGTTCCCCTAAAGTCAACCAACCAAAAAGAGGATGCTTTCTTGTATCACGGCCACTGGGCATCTGAGAGTTTATATCTCTGTCTATTTTATTGGGAGCTCATCCTTTACTTGGATTCTTTCATTTAGCTTTTGAAGTCATGGCATAATTTGTAGACCTACAAAAGCTTGATGAAAGCCCAGCGCTGGGCAATCTTCTGCAACCCTTGAAAGATACAAAAGGGGCCTCACATGCTTCGTCACTCTCATTTCTCTTTTTCAATGATCATTTTCAATTATCCTCAGAACAAGCTTGACTGCTATTGGGTTGGATCTTTAGACTTTAACTTGTTGGGAAATAAAGGTGTTTTCCACTGACCCCCGAACAAGTTAAAGTTATTGCAGGGGGGCCAACAGCAACCAAGCAAGCATCCTAGCAGGCATGCGAGCATTGAAGCAGACCCTTTATTGAGAGGGCCTGCTACCACGGCGGCTCCGCATCCTGTTTCGGAGCTGTGTAGCGGGAGTCCTGGTTACGTAGGTATGTGAGGCAAAGACAATGCTTGACACTTCCGCTGGAGCCTGAAAGTCGCAACTTTTTCGCGCGCTCAAGTACTAGCCGTACAACGCAGCGCTCGTCAAAGTGCATGTCCCTTCCCCAGAATTAGCTCCCCTTTTTGTGATTTTTTGCCGGGGTCCCAATTCCAGCCGAGTTCCGCAGCTCCGGCTAAGTCGCAGCTCGGTACAACGGCATGCGAACCGCAGGAGAGCCCCTCGAAGGTTCCAACGCGAAAGCTTGGCGACGGGTCGCTGAACCCGGGCCGGGGTGTAGCGAGGTATGTAGAAGACGACCATGCGAGGTATGTAACGAGGTAGAGCACAGAAAGATGACTTTTTCCTCCCCCCCCTCATATGTTGGGTGTGATTCAGAGCATGCAACAAGCATGCAGCCAGCAACCAGCCGGCGGTCGTATTAATGTGAGGTTTCATGGTAGAACATGCCAAATCGCCTACCTCCCCTTTTGATTTGTTTCAATTTTTTTGGGTCCCTTTGTTTTCCACTAACCAGGCAAACAAGAATTGTTTTTTTGCAATTCCAGCCTAGCTACTTGGTGGTTGCCGGACAAAGGGAGCTGGGGCCCCTACCCTCTTTCCAAGAATCATGGAAGTCGTTCTTTACAAGGATAGTTTTCGTCTTCCAACCCCTGTCAGCTTCCTGACTCTTGGAAGGGTACCAGGAGTTCTGGTTGGGGGCATGCCAAAAAATACGCGCTGCGGCCCTCCATGTGTTCGCGCTTGTAGGGTTGCGGGGCCGCTAAAGAAAAGACAAGCCTGTAAAGAAGTTCAAAGGGATGCGACAATAGAAAACCGCCCTCAGTAAACTGCAACTCAACAGTAAATCTAGAGGTGTGTTGCCCCCGAATCCTGTTTCCGTATTGCCTTTTCCCGGTTCCCGCCCGGCATTGATCTATCCCTTTTTGGAACAGGCCGAAGACTACCCTTACAAGACGGAAGTGGGTGGTTTCAAGTCTGAAGGCTGGGCAAGGCGTGCGCTATGCCGAGGACAGCCAC